CCTGAGTGACGGGCAGTGCTGCCCGGCTTGCAGTCTCAAGGGTCCAACCTGTGGGTCAAGGGCTGCTGGGCCTCCACTGGCCCACACACGGTGTGGGGTCACGGGAACGCTCAGGAGGGACCTGGTTACTCCTGGGACAAGCTGGAGTTGGCCCTGTGACCCAGCTCGCCCTGGAGACTGTCCTGCAGAGAGCATGGTCATCCAGCCTGAGGCACAGGTGTGCAAGGGACCAGGCCCACGGGACCCTCAGCCTGACCCCACTGTAGCACCAGGCTCTCAGCACCCCGGGCACAGGCACTGCAGCCCAAGGCTCCACTTCTCAGCCTCCTACAATGGCTTAGAAATGAGAGAAGGCAGGTTGTTTGTGGCTGAGGCTGCCCTCGCCCCCAGACCCCAACAATTCTGTGGGGTCGCCTGGGCTCTGTGTTGCCACCCACAAGGCCTCTGGACCCTGATGGACATTCCCCAGGTCCACCTGGCTCCCTGTGCCCCGCATCGGGCCTGCCCCCACCCCCAGCCCTGCTCTGTCCTTGCACAGGTTCAATTTCGTGGCCAAGAAGCTGCACCGCCGACTGCTGCAGCTTGGGGGCTGCGCACTTGTGCCCGCCTGTCTGGGCGATGACCAGCACGAGCTGGGGTGAGTGAGCACCTGGACAGAGGGGGAGGGGCACAGCTGTTGGGGCCTTCATGAACCTGCTGCTCCCACAGGCCCGATGCTGCCATCGACCCCTGGCTGCGAGAGCTGTGGGTGCAGGTGCAGGAGCGCCTCCCTTCACCGGCAGGCCTCAGTGCCATCCCACCGGGCGTCCCGTAAGTTCAGCAGCTGGGTGCCCAGGGGTGCGGGCGAGGGGCCTTGGGGGTCTCAGGATGAATACACACCCTTTTTACAGTTTACCCTCCAAGTTCACCCTGCATTTCCTGCCGGGGGCCCCCAAGACCGAGGAGCAGCAGGCACCCCCAGCAGGCCCTCAGGAGCCCCCCTCACAGCTCCGACCCTTCCTGGCACCCATGGTCTCCAATCAGAGGGTCACCGGCACCTCACACTTCCAGGACGTCCGGCTGATCGAATTCGACATCACCAGCTCCGGGGTCAGGTAGGCTCATGAATGGGCGCCAGGGTCTGACAGTGACAGAGCAGTGGGGGGTTGGGGGTCCTGGGAGACGCGAGAACACAGCTCAGGCCGCTCCCCAGCTGGGGGGGCGCAGGGCACTTGGGGGAGCTGGTGTCTGATGGGTCCCCCCATACCCCCTCACTGACATACCTCTCACTGCCCCCTATACACACATCTCCCCACTGCTCTCCCACACAGCTTTGCAGCTGGGGACGTGGTGCTGATCCAGCCAGAGAACTCGGCCAGCCACGTTCAGCAGTTCTGCCAGCTGCTAGGTCTGGACCCGGATCAGAACTTCATGCTGCAGCCCCGGGAGCCAGGTGAGCCAGCAAGGTGGGACTGGAGCAAGACGGGTACCTCCTGCCATGCCCTGAGTGACCCCACCCACCCCTGCAGATGCTACCTGCCCTGCACGACTGCCTCAGCCCTGCTCCGTGCGGCACCTGGTGGGCCGGTACCTGGACGTGGCTGGCGTCCCACGCCGCTCCCTCTTTGAGCTGCTGGCCAGCCTCTCCCCAGACGAGCTGGAGCGAGAGAAGCTGCTGGAATTCAGCTCGGCAGGGGGCCAGGAGGCACTCCATGCCTACTGCACCCGGCCCCGAAGAACCGTCCTGGAGGTGGGCACCAGTGGCCTCGGGGCCGGAGCCCAGAACGGGGGGCTGGGGTGGGAGGGGGCGCTAGGAACAGTCTGAGGGACGCCTCCCACAGGTGCTCTGTGACTTTCCTCACACAGCGGCAGCCGTGCCCCCCGACTACCTGCTGGACCTTATCCCCCCAATCCGACCACGCGCCTTCTCCATCGCCTCCTCCCTGGTGGTGAGGCCTGGCACCCAGGGGGACTCCACATGGGGTGGGGGCAGGGCATGCCAGGCCTGCACCGAGTGGCCAGCTCATAACCGCTGTCCGCTCCCAGGCCCTCCCTGGGCGACTGCAGGTCCTGGTGGCCGTGGTGCAGTACCGGACACGCCTCAAGGAGCCCCGCCGGGGCCTGTGCTCCTGCTGGCTGGCTTCGCTGGACCCTGGACAAGGTGGCCGTCTGTTCCTGGGCAGGGGTGGTCCCAAGACTCCTTCTCTTCAGGCAGACCCCCTCAGGCCAGCCCTGCCGCCTCCTCACACCCCTCTCTCCACTGCAATAGGACCTGTCCAGGTGCCCCTGTGGGTGCAGCCTGGGAACCTGACCTTCCCAGAGACGGCAGATACACCAGTGGTCATGGTGGGGCCTGGCACTGGGGTGGCCCCCTTCCGAGCGGCCATCCAGGAGCGAGTGGCCAGGGGCCAGACTGGTGAGCATACAGGGATCCCAGGACAGCAGCCTGCTTCTCAGGACTCTGTGGGCACCCCGGCCCTCCCTAGGGGCCCCACACGAGGGACCCCCCCCACTGGCTCAGGTCTGCCCTGCCCTCTTCCTAGGGAACGTGCTGTTCTTTGGCTGCCGCCAGCGGGACCAGGACTTCTACTGGGAGGCTGAGTGGCAAGAGCTGGAGAGGAGGGGCTGCCTGACTCTGGTCACTGCCTTCTCCAGGGAGCAGGTGTGTGCTGGGGCTCCGCTGCAGACTCGTCCCTCTGGGCGGGGACACAGACTTCTGTCTCCATCCCCCCAGGTCTGAGCCAGGCACTGGCTGCAGGCTCCGCCCCTCAGATGAAGGCACTTCTGTGGGCTCTACCCCTCTTGAGGGCGTTGGGTTGTGTGTGGATGGTTTGAGGGTGAGACACAGGGCGTCTGGGAGTGTACCCACCTCCCCATCCTGCCACCCCGCAGCAGCAGAAAGTGTACGTGCAGCACCGGCTGAGGGAGCACGGGCCCCTGGTGTGGGAGCTTATAGACCAACAGGGAGCCTGCTTCTACCTGGCTGGGTGAGTGGTGGGGAGGGGGGAGAAGGGGGTGGTACTGGGGAGCCTCCTCCTCCTACTGCCTGGGTGAGCTATGCAGAGGAGGGACTACACTCTGGGCTTCACCCCGCCTTTCAGGAACGCCAAGTCCATGCCAGCCGAGGTCACAGAGGCCTTGACGTCTGTCTTCCAGGAGCAGGGCGGGCTGTCGGGGCCTGACGCAGCCAGCTACCTCACCAGGCTGCAGCGCACACTCCGCTTCCAGGCCGAGACCTGGGCCTAGGCCCCGCAGGCTGAGGAAGGGCATGCCCATCCTACTCTACAGCCCAGTGACCCTGCCCTGGCCCTGGGTTCTGGCTGGCTGGAGCCAGGCTGTGGACCCTTCCCTCACTAGAGGAATAGTGACCCAGGGTCCGGCCCCCTGCCCTGCCCCGCATCCTGGGGGCAGCCCAGGTCCCAGTCACCAGCGCCACACTGAAATGTCAGGACCTGCTACCCAGGGCAGACCTCCCAGGCAAAGGGGGCGCAATAAATTCTCTGGGCCACAGATGTCATGGCTTCCTGTGTCTTCCTGCGCCTGGGGCATGGGCGAGTCCCTTGCCCGTCCACAGCAGGGCAGCCCCTCCCATAGTGGGTGTGGACATTTAGAACGTTGTGGACGTGCAGGTGTGCACCTGGGGGCGTGCACACGTTCTGGCTCACGCCCAGTGACTGGGCTGTACCGCCCCCCTTTCCACCCGTTCCCCTCGTGCACCATGAGGTCTGATCCCAGTGGGGTGCACGTGTGCTGTTTGCCTGCTTTGCACTTCGAAACACCCCCACCCCCGAAGCAGCACGGCATGGCCCAGCGGTGGGGCAGGCGCTTGGAGCCTCACCAGACCGGTGGGGCGGGCCCTTTGTGGGCCCCAGCCAGCTCAAGGGGCGTGGCTGTGTCAGCCCCCACCCCTGGGCTGGGCCTTCCGGCGCTCGGCGGGGAAATCCTACCGCGGAGCCGACCCGCCCCATTGCCCACAAATCCTCCGAGTTGGTTGTTGGCTGGTCGGTTGCTGCTGTCACGGCAACGGGACAGCGCCACGGCTGGGCTTGGGCCCCGCTTTAGTCCGGGACAGCCCGCTGACCCAGGACCCGCCTGGCACTGGCACAGGGCGCCGGGGCCCGGACAAAGTTTCCTCCCAGCGCGGAGGGGACCGGCCGCCCGCCGCAAGGTCAGTTCCCGGAGCGAGGGTGGAGCCCAGACCTGGTACGGACCCTGAGGGTGACCCCGACCCTCACAGCTCCGGACTCCTCGCAGCCTTGGGGTCTCAGCCCCCACATCCCAGCACTGGACCCCCCAGCCCGGCTCCGACCTCCTTAAGCCCCGAGTGGCAGGACTCCCCAGGCCAAGTGCGGGCGGACGGCGGAGAGGGCAGCGCGGGCCCGGGGTCGCCCCTGGATGCCAGCCTCCTGGAACGGCAGCCTCTGCTGGGGGCTGCAGCCGCGGCCGGCGCCGCGGAGGAGGCGCCAGGGACGGATGGCGAGGAGTGCCCCATCTGCACGGAGCCCTACGCGGCCATCAGCGAGCGCCGTCTGACGCTGCTCAACTGCGGCCACGGCTTGTGCACCAGCTGCCTCGGCCGCCTGCTGAACGCGGCGCCCAGCGCCGACCTGGGCCGCGTACGCTGCCCCCTGTGCCGCCAGAAGACGCCCATGCTCGAGTGGGCCATCTGCCAGCTGCAGGAGGAGCTGCTGCAGGCCGACGGGCCCCAGCGCCCAGCGCCCGCCACGCCGCCCCAGCCACCCGGCCGCGGCAGGGGGCTCTGGGCCGCCCTGGAGCACCGCTATCAGCTGCGCTTCCTGGCGGGGCCTGTGGGAGGCCACGGCTGCCTGCCCTGTCTGCCCTGCCCACCCCACCTGGGCGCCCGGCTCTGGGCCCTGCGGGAGCGCGGACCCTGTGCACGGCGCCTGGCCCTCCTCAGCCTGCTGGCCCTGGAGCTGCTGGGGCTGCTGCTCGTGTTCACCCCGCTCCTGCTGCTAGCGCTGCTCTTCGTGCTGCTGGAGCGGGCCAGCCGCTGAGAGCCCTGCCCGCCAAGGACCCCGGCTTGTAAGAGCAAGCTGCACTGTGGCTGTAGCCAGGCCGGAGGACCTCAGGACATCCAAGGGCAATTCTGGAGGGGCTGGTTCCCCTTGCCACTGCCCTAGGCTGCTCTGGGACCACTGAGCTGGGCGGGAGGAGCCAGGGTGGCCCTCATCCAGCCAGCCACGCTGGGAGTGGATGCCCCTCCTTCCCTGATAAGGGCCAGTCCCTGAAGGTCAGGGCTACTGAGGGACGCTTGGTGCCACCCACTGCCCGCCACCAGGAGCTCGATGCCTTCCATAGCTATGGCCAGGGCCACTCAGGCATGGATGCCCAAGAGTGCTGAGGCCAAGCCCACCCCTGCTATCGATGGACTGCCCCTGTGTCCTGTGGAAGGGGCCCTGTGTGGTGGGAGTGAGCCTGCAGGCAGCGCCTTGCTCAGCAATGTTCTCATTAAAATGCAGCCGCCACTCCTGCCGTTGGCAATTATTACTGTCACTGGACCAGTCAGCAACCACCCCACCACGAGGCCCCTCCAGACTTAGGTGGTCAAGCACAGGCAGGAGGTGATCTGGGGGTCCTCATACCCCCAACACAATGAGCTCAGCCTGCCTGTGTCTCATACCTTTGCTCGCCTGCCCAGAAGGCAGCCCCACAGCCCCCAGGGGAGCCGGACCTCAGTTTGGGGCCCAGTGGCCAGCAGGGGCAGGGGCTGAGGCGGCCGGCTCTACCTGCGGCTCCACCCAAGCACTGTTCCGAGGGGGCCATCGCAGGTCCACGGGCTCCCCGGCAGGCCCAACCATGGCAGCAGCTGCACAGTGAAGCAGCCCCGCTCCAGGCTGCCTTCTGACCTGCACCCCACGTGCCCCTGTCGGCACAGGCGTAGTCCATGGCCCCAGGAGCCAGCCTCAGGCCAGGAAACGAGGTGCAGACTTTGGCAAAGAGTTTTAATGGCAGAGTTGGCTGCAGCGACAGTACCACTTGGGGTGGGACAGAATCTGTGGTGGGCATGAAGGGGTCAGCGGGCGGGTGGGTCCCTGGAGAAGCTGTGTGAGGGCTGGCAGCAGCTACATGATGGAGCAGGCAGAGAGAGGGTTCCGCACGTGACAGGTACACGCAGCCCCGCAATACTGCCGGAAGGTCTGGTAACAGCTGCCCTCGGGCTCGCCACCCCACTGGCCGCCGGTTGGGGCGGTCAGCGCCTCCTGGGGCAAGCGGCTCAGGATGGACGTGTTGACAGCCAGTGCGGCCAGGCCATAGTCAGTGAAGAGCACTGTCTCGCGGTGGCAGGTGGGGCAGGAGATGAACTTGTACTTGGGGCAGGACTCGTAGAGGATTTGCAGGCACTGCTCACACACGGAGTGCAGACAGGACAGCACTCGGGGCCGCCGCTGGGTGGCATTGTAAGTGTGCCCACAGGTGGGGCACTCCAGGGGCTCGCCCCCTGCCACCGAAGGGGCCACTGGGGCTGCCGAGCTGGGCCGCAGCACATACTGGTTCACGATGACCTCGTCCGGCGCCACCCGAGGGAAGCTCAGCTCAGCACTGCCCTTTCGGGGCCGGCGGGGCAGGGGTGGGGTGTGGGATGCCCCTTCCAAGGCAGGCATGTCCCCCCCACAGGCCTGGTTGACAATGATCTCCGTGTCTGAGGGCCAGGCGCGCTTGGGTGCCAGGGCAGGGGTGGGCCGGGGTGCAGGGGTGAAGCAGGGGGGTGCTGCCGGCAGCTCTGGAAACTTCTCAGGGTGCACGATCTTCATGGCTTCCATCTTGAGGATGACATGGGGGCCCTTCAGGCAGGACATGAGGAGGCCAGGCCAGCCGCTGCCCACCTCGGGCCCAGTCTCAGCCGGCATCCGGCTGTCTGTGGTCAGACTGGATGTTCGGGCGGGCGGGGGTGTTGCGGGTGGACGTGGGGGTGGCAAGGGGGCAGCATCCTGGACCCGCCAGGCCTTGGGAGGACCCCGGCCACTCCGTGGACTCCTGGGGGTGGCCGGTGAGACCTGGGAGGGCAGGGACCCCCCGAGTGGCCACAGTGGCTCCTCAGGTCCAGTCCTGGGAGGAGGAGGAGGAATGGGTGGTGGAAGGGGTGGGAGGCTGGGGCAGGGGAGTGGGGGCCGCTGCCCTGGGCTGGAGCCTTCACCCGGGGTCTCACCCAGGGTCCTGGGCTTCGGAGGCTGCCGAGGGGGTGTGGGTGGTGCTCCCCCTGTGGCCGAGGTCAGCAGCCCCCGGCCCCGGCCATCCGGGCGGGCGGGGGCTAGGTGGGCCCCATGGCCCCAGGGCAGGGCGCCCAGGGAAGGCAGCTAGCCTGCTCCCCGGCCTCCTGAGAACCTGGGCCGCAGGCGCGTCGGCAGGAGCGGAGAGGCCTGCGCCGGGCCTGAGCTACAGGGAGAGACAGTAGGAGGGCAGCGCCCGGTCTAACACCCCCTGGCCCGCCCTAACCCCCACCTCCTGCGCAAAACCCGAGCCCCTGACCTCCGACCCTGACCTGTCTGCCGGAGCCCCACCTCCGCCGGCCTGGAGACCCAGCTCCTCCCAGCGCCCACCCCCAAGGCTGGCTCACCTTCCCGCGGACCCGCCCTTCCCGGCTGGGGAGCTGGAGGCCCGATTTGGGGGGCCTGGCCGCCGCCCCGCCCCGCGCTCACCTGCCCCAGCCTGGCGTCCCTGGCCGCGCGCCGCCGCCACCGCCGCCGCAGAGGTTGTCTGAAAGGCAGGCCTGGATGCGGCGGCCGCGCTTCTGCAGCGGCGCCGGCAGCTCTGGCAGGGCCGCAGCGACCTCGGAGGAGGAAGGGGCCGCGAGGGGCTTGGGGGTACGGGGCTGGGCAGGGCTGCGCTCGGGCCTGTGCGGCGTCGGCAGGTGCGTGCGGAGCGTGGCGCGCTCTGCGGCGGAGGCGCGGGGACCGCAGTGCGCGCGGCGCCCGCCCGCGCCCGCAGCGCCACCACCCGTCTGGGAACCCGCGCGGGGTCTGCGGGGCGGAGCCAGCTTCTTGGCCGCCCCTCGGTCCTGCGGGCCTGATGCCCGCTCCTCAGGGACCCCCGCGCCACCACCCCTCACCGACCCCTCCCAGCTGACCTGGGGTCTGGTCACCTTCACCAGAGCTGGAAGGGAAAGGCTACTTTCATCCCTCAAGCCTCACAAAACCAGAGGAGGGGCAAGGGAGTCTCCGGGAAGCTGGGTCCAGGACCCTTCCCAGGGTGGGTGCTTTCCGTGGGCGACCTTCCTCTGTTCTGCCCCCCACCACCACCCAGCCCTAGTTGGTCTTTTCCTGTCCTTTAGCTCAATCCCTACTGGGCATGCCCCCTCATCTGGCTCTCAGGGTGCCCCAGCTGTACCAAGGGCCTGCTGGCTTGCAAGGGGCCACGATGGGATAGGTGGGCCTGGAAAGAAGGCGCCCAGAAGGGAGTGAAGGCCCTAGGTCACCTGGACTGTGGCGTGGACAGAAGGTCAGGCAAACGACTGGACAGGTGCCAGGCAACTATGGGCCGGTGTCAGGGCACAGGGAGGGCACGTGCCTCTCCAGGGTGGAGTGGCCCCTCCTGGCACCCCACCAGGCCAGCACGTGCCCTGATGTCACAGCTGTGAGTTGAAAGGACCCCACCCGGCGGAACCCCATTCCTTTCTGCTTCTCTGTCAAGCACGGGGCTTCCTGGTCCCAGCATCCACCCTCTGTCCATGAGGAAGGCACGCTGGGGAGCAGGGCGGCGTGGGGGGTGTGGGGGTGGAGGGCAGGCTGCGGGCCCCCGCCTTCACACTTGCTACCAGCTGCTAGGTCCTGAGCCTGACCTCGACAGTCCTGAGCCCTCTGGCCACTGCCCCTGACGTCTGAACAGCAGGCTGTCCTGTTGAGGAAAGAGGGCTGAGTGAGCCCACGGGCACAAAACATAGTGGCGGGCACTGAGCCACTGGGGCTGCCTTTGGGCAGTGAGTGACCTCGTGATGGAGTGAGGGCTCCGCGCCAGCAGGTGTAAGCGGCGCGCGTCAGCGGGAGCACTGCTCCCAGGGCCGCAGTGGATCCCAGACACGAAGGGGCTGACTGGGGCAGCCCGGTCAGGAAAGGGCTGAAGCCAGCGCTCGCCGTCTGCTGGCCACACCGACCACCAGGGCGAAGGTCCCGCCCCCTACAGAGGCCCCGCCCCTGGCGGCTTGTGGTGAGGCCCCGCCCCGAAGTTTAGGCCCTCTGGACGCTTTATGTTCACAGCAAGGGCTGCCCGGGCGGAATATATGGGGTCGTCCGAGGCCAGCAGACCCCGAACCGGGTCTTGTGGAAAACTCTGGGTCGCAGAGCCTTCTGGGAAATAAGGCTTCTGCCGCCAGCGCTCCTCAAACCTGGTGTGCGCATGCGCTTCTGTCGGGTTCACAGCAAAGGGCGGGGCTCCTGCGCTTGCGCAGTGGGTCTCCGTGCCTGCCTCCGCTTCCGAAGCCCTGGGCCCCCATCCCATGGCCAGTTCTTCCCCTACACCCGTCGGGTGTCCAGACCGGCCTAACTGGCCCCACCCAGGCCTCGCGGTCACCCTGGCCTCCCGACCGCCTCTGATTTGACCCCGCCCCTCCTCGAGGGGTCCCAGCGCCGAGGGCTAGGGCAGGATGGGAGTGGTGAGGGGGCTATCTAGGGCCCTGGAAAGCAGTGTGGGGACGCTGCTGGGGGCCCTAGCCCCCATACAGAAAAAATGCATGCAATTTCAGAAATGGGCTAGAAATGTCACACATTTAGGATTCCCAATCGCAATTGTAACGTGTTCTCTCTGCAAAGTGGAAAGTACGTATTATTGTGTGCTCGCGAGGGAGAGAGAAAAAAGAGAAAGGGCGCAGCCTTTGTTGGCCCTGTTTGGGACTGGACAAACCTATTTTTCTGGCCCTCTTCAAAATCTGGGAACTACTAAGTCATAACACATCAGTTTGCTACTTAAAGTGGCCTGTGTGTTTCCATTGCTTTCCCAGCATTTCCTCCGGTCACATCGAATGCGTTCTTCCCTCCCTGCTAAAATCTCGTCTGAATCAAACCGCTTTTTTTGTTCAATCAATGTGATCATCTCTCAGGCTAGTGGACCCCACCCCCACCCCCACAGTATGTGGTTCTCAGTTGTGACCTGGGGACCCCAAGACAGACAGACGCCTGAGAACAGAACCTACTTTCATAATAATACCAGGACGTTTGCCTGTTCCATTCTTTCAAGAGGAGCGTCTACAATCATCGGTTTGACCCTTTGGGGGGTCGAACGACCCTTTCCCAGGGGTAGCCTGTTTCATAACAGTAGCAAAATTACAGTGGTGAAGTAGAAAGGAAGATAATGTTATGGTTGGGGGTCACCACCACATGAGGACCTGTGTGAATGGGCCGCAGTGTGAGGAAGAAGGTTGAGGACCCTGTGGAGGTGCTGTCTCAACAGATTAAGTGTAGATGCAGCCGGAAGTCCAGCTTTATTTTTTTTTAAATCAAGTCAGCTTTAAAGGATTTTTAAATGTGAAGCAATGTCCTCTTTTCACTGAATTATTTTTGTCTGACAAATATTCTTTTGTATTCATAAATGTTATTTTTGTCAGCAAGTAACAGAATTGATTGTTATCCTAGTAAACATCTAAGCATTTCTCAATTGAAAACAAAAATCCAGCCATGTCCTCTGTCATCCTGGATGGAGGTGGCCACCAGGCCCTGAAGAGGTGGGACACACACATACCCTGCAAACCCAGATCTGGGGTCTGTGTCCCCACCCTGGCTCCACTTCCCCACTGGGGCCATGACCCCGAGCTCCTCCTGCCTCTGTGCAGGAGCCCAGGACATGCCCAGGATGTGTGGTGGCTGAGTCACTTTGCTGGCAGTACCCCTGGGAGCCCAGGAGCTTAAGGCATCCTACAGACCCGCCCCCAGCCCTGCCCTTCCTGGGGAGGGAAAAGCCAGCTGCCTGGTGCTCAGGACACAAGCTCTGGGACTTGGGGCTCAGGAAGAAACCAGGGGACAGACTGCTGCTGCTGCTGCCGCCTCCGCCGCCGCCACCACCACTACCACCACTGCAGGTGGGTCCTTGCCAGTGGGCATCCTGGGGTGCTCAGAGACCCCCACCGGCTCTCCCCATGCCCAGCTCTATCCCACAGCACCGCCACCCAGGGAGGGAGGACGTCTGTGGGAAGGCAGTGGGCCCGCACAAAGCCCACCTGACACACAGGCCTGGCACATCCTCTGAGGTCTCTGTACTCTGGGTGATGGTGGCTCAGGGACATTGGCCTTGGTCAAAGCAGCCACTGCAGCTTGTGGGGGGAGGGGGGGCTGGCTGGGCTGCAGGCTCCTGGGTCCCATACCCTCTCCACAACGTTGGCGTCCTTCTGTTCTGTGCAGACCTGCTCCCTATGGCGGACCAGCCACCTTGCCCAGACAAATGCATCATGGACCCCCATGAGATGGTGGTCAAGAACCCCTATGCCCACATCAGCATCCCCCGTGCTCACCTGCGACCCGACCTGGTGAAGCAGCTGGAGGCCGCTCCCTGCTCATCCTCCTCTTCATCCCCTGAGACACAGCCGCTGCCCACAGGACCCTGCACCTCAGATCCTGTCCGCCTCCTGCAGCCCACAGAGGAGGCTCCAGACCCCAAGGGGGCCAAAGGGGCCAAGGGGGCCACCCCCCTCCCATGCCAGGAGTCTTGGCAAGAGCCCAGCAACCCCTACAGCAGAGCCCAGCGCCAGGCAGGACTGACCTACGCGGGCCTGCCGCCCATTGGCCGCGGAGACGACATTGCCCACCACTGCTGCTGCATCCCCTGCTGCTCTTGCTGCCATTGCCCGCGCTTTTGCCGCTGCCATAGCTGCTGCTGCTGCGTGGTCTCCTAGCTGCCCGCTAGGCCGGCCCGGACATTCAGAGAAACCGCTGGCCTGCCATGCATGCGTCTGGACCCGTGAGGACAGCCATGCCTGGCTGGGCGCCCAGGGACACCCTATGACCACCTTTTCCTGCAGGAGCCCAGACAATAAAGTGGGTGCGCCTGGTCCCTGAGATGCCCTCAGCTCCTTCCCGGTGCTCTCCCTGCTCTCCCCCCACACTCCCAGGCACACAGTCTCTGGGACATTCCAGGACAGGGAGGGGACAGTCTCAAGACATACACATTGTCCCACACTGCAGGTCCCTGGTCTGCCTGGAGGCCAGGCAGGGAGTGGTGGGGTTCCAGCAGCCTGTACCTCCTGCCTGTCCATATGGGGGAGCAAGGGGTGGGGGGGGCACACTGGCAAGGGGGCAGTGGGTGGGGCTGGCAGTGGCAGGTTTCGGGGAGTGAGAACTACGGGCAGCCGGGCCCCAGCCTTGCTCACCATGAGTCACTACCAACCTCCGCCTGGTTTGCGGCTCTCCCACAGCTCCTGGGCTGCCCCGCACTGGGACTGCTGCTCTGACCCACCCGCTGCCTGGGGAGGCAGTGGGGAGAACCAGGAGCAGAGCAGGGTGGGAGGGATCGGGGACTTCCAGCTTGCCACCCTCACAGCTCAGGTGCCTGTCAGGATGATGGGATGATATACGGGGGCGGGAGGAGGCCCTGCCAAGATAGCCCTGGTGTTTCCTGGCAGGGCAATGGTGGAGGCGAAGCAGGCCAAGCTGGCTATGCAGGACAAACAGGTCACATGCCGACCCTCCCTCAGTCCCCTGCACTGACTCACCTGCCAGGGAGGTGATGTGTGGCCTGTCAGGTCAGGGAGGTGGGACAAGTGTGTCATCACATGACATGGGCCTGAATGACCCTTCTCTGGAACCCTGCGCTCAGATGTCTGTTTGCAGCCCCTGCCTGTCTCTACCTGGGGGACCCTGCACTTAGGTGTTAACCCAACCAAGAAACTGGTCCAGGAAGTGGCCTGCCAAAGAGGAGGGTAGCAGTCCTGAGGGGCCTCTCTGGTACCTGGCTCCCTCCTAGGGGGAGCTGTGAGGGCCTTTGGGCAGAGAGGGCTCGCCTGACCTCTTCAGGAGGCAGGCTTCTGCCATCTGTGTAGGCCTGAGTCTGCGGGAGAGACTTTCCTTCTGAGGGTGTGCGGGACTTCACTGGTGGTGCTTGGCCACCCCCTGGAGGCCAGGCCGGGTGCTGCAAGCCCCAGCCAGCTGGCTGGACTGAGTGCTGGGGATACACACACTGTGGCTGCTGGGGGAGGGGCAGGCCCCCTGGGAGCAGGCTGGGCGTCCTGGCTGGCTTCCTGGAGGGGGTGACTCTCCCGCTAAAGAATGGCGAGCACTGAGCCAAGGCAGGAAGGCTGCGGGTAGGCTCCGTGGTGGTGGGGGAAGGTGCTGGCAGGACCCAAGGGGTCAGCCAGACCTGATGGGGGGCAGCTGCGAGCCAGGCAGGGAGGAAAGCAGCACAGGGGGGTAGCGGGACCTGGTGAGGGTCAGTGAGGAGGGTCTGGTGGGCGGCGGTGCCAGTTTCTGGGGAGTCCACAGTGCTGGGGGATCCAGTTGCAGGCTTTGTGACGGAGAGGGCAGTCCGCCACCCTGCCGCCTGCCGCCCGCCACCTGCCAACTGGGCTGCACTCAGGCGTAACTTGAGACTCGGGAGAGAGTGCAGGGTGCCCTGGGCCCGCCCCCTGCCAGCCCCTGCCCCGGCCACCCTCTGGTCAGCAGAAGCAGCCCAGTGGCTCAGGTGCAGGTAAGGGGCCTGGGCTCAGGCAGGCTGGGGTGGGGGCCAGGGTGGTCAGGACTTGGCATGACTGGTGCTTTGGGGACCCTGGCCTCCAGACCCCAGACCCCAGCAAGCAGGCCCCAGCAGCCTCCTGCACCACCCCCATAGGGCTGAGAGCTGACCGCACAGCGTGGAAGCGGTCAGTGCAGACACCCCTGAGCCCTCCACCCCACCCTCTGATCCCATCCACCCCCGTCCTGGGCCCTCCATGCCCTTCTTGAGCCCTATACCCTACTCCTTGAGCCCGGGCACCCCTATCCTGAGCCCATCCCAGGATGCTGCAGCCGCAGAAAGGCCAGGCCCCTGAGGAGGCAGCTGCAGTGGGGACTCGGAGAACCGACTGCGTCATCTGCTACTCAGCGTACGACCTGGCTGGACACCTGCCCCGCCGCCTCTACTGTGGCCACACCTTCTGCCAGGCGTGTGTGCGGCGGCTGGACATGCCAGCTCATGAGCAGCGCTGGATTCTGTGTCCCCAGTGCCGCCAGAGCACCCCCACGCCCCGGGGAGGGGTGGCCATGCTGGACCTGGACCTGGCCGCCTTCCTGGCCGTCAAGGCCGAGCGCGAGCCGGCACGAGGGGAACCCCGGCAGCCCGGGCCCCTCAAAGGAGGCACTGCCGTGGTGGTCACACAGCAGCCGGCTGGCCTCTGCCCCAGGCTGGGCCCCCAGCCCCACTTCCCTCGGCCCAGACCCTGCTGCTGCTGCTGCTGCTGCTGGGACATTCCTGGCGGCC